GATATAACATGGTATAAATTAGGTTTATAACGTGGTTTAAATTAGAACTAACATAAATTAGATATAACGTGGTATAAATTAGATATAACGTGTAATAAAATAGAACTAACAAGCCATCACACGCTACAGACTTGAACTAACACTGTGCAGAATAGAACTAACACTGTGCAGATTAGAACTAACACTCTACAGAATAGAACTAACACTGTGCAGATTAGAACTAACACTCTACAGAATAGAACTAACACTGTGCAGATTAGAACTAACACTCTACAGAATAGAACTAACACTGTGCAGATTAGAACTAACACTCTACAGAATAGAACTAACACTGTGCAGATTAGAACTAACACTCTACAGAATAGAACTAACACTGTGCAGATTAGAACTAACACTCTACAGAATAGAACTAACACTGTGCAGATTAGAACTAACACTCTACAGAATAGAACTAACACTGTGCAGATTAGAACTAACACTCTACAGAATAGAACTAACACTGTGCAGATTAGAACTAACACTCTACAGAATAGAACTAACACTGTGCAGATTAGAACTAACACTCTACAGAATAGAACTAACACTGTGCAGATTAGAACTAACACTCTACAGAATAGAACTAACACAGTGTTAGTTCTATTCTGTAGAGTGTTAGTTCTATTCTGCAGCGTGTTAGTTCTAATCTGTCTGTAGCGTGTGAGTTCTAATCTGCAGATTAGAACTAACACTCTACAGAACGGAACTAACACTGTGCAGATTAGAACTAACACGCTACAGAATAGAACTAACATAGAATAAGTTAGAACTAACAATGCATAGGTACGAATTAGAATGAAACAAGATCAGTAAAATATGGAACTTACACACAATAGTGTCATGCAACCTGGGACATATGCGACCTTTTGCTTCTTCTTTCCCTCCAAAGCAACTCCAATGCCCCTGATAATTTCATTATAAAAGAACGGGGCCCATGCAACAGAATTGACCCTCTGAATGCTATCCAGGTACCTGAGTAAGGGTCTAGGGATACCTTCCCCTGCTATGGGACTCCATATCATAGAGCATTGGTACAAAATTTGTAGCAGAGCAAAATCCTCGATATCCCGCTTTTTGGTAGATTCAACAAGCCGTTCAAGTAGCCCTTCAAGATGTTTACGTTGGCTGGTTTCTGATTTTTTTAACTTCTTACCCTCTTCAGAAATGAAAAGCTTAGCGAAGTATTCTAGCCATATTCTGCTTCTTGAGTCCCTATTGTTCCTTATGTCCTCCCCATAAATTGGGAAATAAGTATGGTTGTGGACCCATTGCAAATCAAAACTAACATTTTTCATACCCCCACTTTTTGAATCAGGTATACAAAAGGTGTTATTATCTCTATCGAAAAAGCTCAGCAGCAGCTCAAGGGTGGGCCGATCAGCCGCAGGAGCCCCAAACAAAATGTAGTGCTGAAATATAGAACCGCAGTATGCATCCCTATGCCACTGACGGATCTTCGGGGCAAGGCGCTTCATAAATGCCCAATAAGCCCCGATATTGGCCGTTAACCTTAGTGTTTCTGCTGAGCCTGTTAGAGCAATTTTTTCCCTGCAAAAAATTTTCGAATTTGTAAGTTCAATAAGACATATGAAACAATATTAGACCTAGCACTAACGGGAACAAAATAGAGCTAACACGTAATATTATAGAACTAACATTGGACTCATATTAGAACTAACATTGGACTTAAACTAGATCTAACGTTGGTATAAATTTAGAACTAACATTGGACAAAGCCTAGAACTAACAATATTGGGTTAATCTGCATTGTCTCTTCGCAGTATAACATAAGCCTATAACTAACAATATTGGGTTAATCTGCATTGTCTGTTCGCAGTATAACATAACACTTACTGTTTTTTGAGGGGGGTTCGTTGGTACGACCAGCCATTGTCGTCCTCCTTTTCTGGTCTCGCCATTGTAATGCCTCCTTTTGCATTTCGATTAGGGTTTTCGTAGCTTTCTATTATTATTATTATTATTATTATTATTATTATTATTATTATTATTATTATTATTATTATTATTATTATTATTATTATTATTATTATTATTATTATTATTATTATTATTATTATTATTATTATTATTATTATTATTATTATTATTATTATTATTATTATTATTATTATTTTGGTGTAATGCCTTTTAACTACTTATCTTTTTAATTTATTTTAGGGAAAAATGCTTCCAGCTCCCAAAACCCAAGAAAACATACCCCCAAGACTTTGTCAACGGGTGCTTTGCCCCTAAAAATAAAGATTTTGTTATATGAGCCCCCAAAACACGTAACCCAAGAGATTAAAATATGTGAAGACCATAATACCATTCTCTCTCTCTTTTGATCATGATGTACTGAGATGATAGTTGAAATGATTGATGAGGATTATTTTATTATTTTCGTTGTTGATGAGGGGAACTAACTATTTGTATTGGGAGATTGTTAAAGTTACGAGTTAATTGTTAATGCTACAAGTTAATTGTTAAGGTTACGGGTCAATTGTTAAGGTTATGGATCCATTTAGGGGTGGGCAAAAACCGTAAAAAACTGGTTCAACCGAAAAAACCGCCCGAAAAAACGGACCGGTTAACCGAACCGAATTAAATGGATGAGAAGAAGTCTCTAAACCGCCCGAACCGAATTAAATCGGTTTGGATCCGGTTTGAACCCCTGAACCGCCCAAAAAAAACCGACCCGAATTCTGTTGGGCGGTTTAGAGACTAAACTTATATCTCAAAACTTTTCCTGTTATCATCCAATAGATTTAAACGACGCAAGGAGCAGTTTCAAGCAACGAGTACAGCAATATCACAGAAAAATATCTTTGAGAACTAAGTAAAGATTCAAATCAATCTAGAAAATTTGTTATGCACATGATGCACTTACAAAAGATGCATACGCTACATTATATGAACAATATCATACAAAACATCACTCCCCCGTGTAATTAAATAAACTTAAACTTTAGTTAAAAAATTTCGCAAAAAAGATCTTGAGAATTACATAAGATTCAAATCAATCATAAAATGTGTTATGTACATGATACTTACAAGAGATAAGCATGATGTATTATATGAACAACATCTTTAAAACATCAGTTTTCTGCGTAATTATATCAACTCAAAACTTTATTCTAAAGATGATAACCAGTCTAATAAAGCTTTGTTGGTGAGCTCAGGAACCTCATCATGAGGACAATGCCCAGCTTGCAAATTCACAACAGAAGTCTTTGGATAGTCTTTGGATAGAACTCTTTGCAAATTCAAAACCGAAACCGAATCGAACCGAACCGAATTTCGGTTGGGCCGAATATTCGGATGAAGGAGAAAAAATCTGGATCTGGATGAGAGTTTTGAGAATCCGAAAAATTCGGATTGGATGCGGATTGGGCATAAAACCATGTTGAAATGATTGAAGGGGATTGTTATTTTATTATTTTTGTTTTTTATTATTTTTGTTGTTGATGAGGAAACTAATTGTTTTTGTTTGTATTGGGAAATTGTTAATGTTACGGGTTTAATTGTTAAGGTTACGAGTTTAATTGTTAATGTTATGGATTTGTTATTAAGGTTACCGGTCGGTTGTTAAGCTTACGGGTCGATTGTTAAGGTTATGAGTTTAATTGTTAAGGTTACGGATTTGTTGTTAAGGTTACGGGTCGGTTGTTAAGGTTACAGGTTGGTTGTGAAAGTTACGGGTTTAATTGTTAAGGTTATGAGTTTAATTGTTAAGGTTACGGATCGGTTGTTAAGGTTACGAGTCGGTTGTTAAGGTTATGAGTCTATTGTTAAGGTTACGGTTTTGTTGTGTAGGTTAACTTCATAACCAAAGCGTAACATTCACAGCCAATGCATAGCCTTAACAACAAACCCGTAACCTTAACAACCAACCATTATCCTTAACAACGAATATTCTAAAAATATTGTGGTTGTTAAGGTTTGAACCCCTAACCTCTTGTCCAAACTCCCAAACTTTACCACTAGGCCAAGTGACCCAAAGTATTCATTCCACTCAATTATATATACATATATATCCCAACGTGTAACATTAACAACCGATCCGTAACCTTAACAACCGACCCGTAACCTTAACAACCGACTCGTAACCTTAACAATTAAACCCGTAACCTTAACAATTAAACCATTAACAATTAAACCCGTAACCTTCACAACCGACCCGTAACCTTAACAACCGACCCGTAACCTTAACAATTAAACCCGTAACCTTAACAATTAAACCTGTAATCCTCACAACCGACCCGTAATCTTAACAATTAAACCCGTAACCTTAACAATCTCCCAATACAAACAAAAACAATTAGTTTCCTCATCAACAACAAAAATAATAAAATAACAATCCCCTTCAATCATTTCAATATCATCACAGTAACATCATGATAAAGAGAGAGAGAGAGAGAGAGAGAAGAGATCCATAACATTAACAATTGACCCGTAACATTAACAATTAACTCGTAACCTTAATAATTAACCCGTAACTTTAACAATCTCCCAATACAAACAGTTAGTTATTCTCATCAACAACGAAAATAATAAAAAACAAAAATAATAAAATAATCACCATTAATTATTTTAACTATCATCTCAGTATATCATGATAAAAAGAGAGAGAGAGAAGGATATTATGGTCTACACATATTTTAATCTCTTGGGTTTTGTGTTTTGGGGGCTCAGAGAACAAAATCTTTATTTTTGGGGGCAAAACACCTGTTCACAATGTCTTGAGGGGGGGGGAGCACGTTTTCTTGGGTTTTAGGGCCTAAAAGCATTTTTGCCTTTATTTTAACAACACAAATAACTCTTCTGAAAAATTAGTTTCCCTATGCATGCATATCTTACTGCATTTAAAGCTTGAATATTGTCAAAACTTTTAGTTCTGATTGTTTCCTGCAATTTTAATTGAAATCAATGCATTATCCTCCAAATAACCTTTCACAATGAGAAAGTTGCACCAAAGAACACCATCTATATGTCTCTTTGCTCTCACTCTCTGCACAAGAATTTCAATTGACATCTTGTGACAAATAGTCAAAGCACTGTCGTAGGCACCTGTAGATAGTATCTCATAACATATAATAAATACATGCATATGACAATGAAGAGAGAGTTTCAACTAAGAGTTTCAACTCCAGAGGAAAGGGAAGTGAGGTGAATACTGTAAGCTTCTTTGAGCTCAGCAAGCACTTCAGCCATTGTTGGCCTCTCTGAGGCATCTCTCTCCACGCATCTTACAGCAATAGACGACGCCTTTCTCATGCTCTCGACGTCAAAACCTCCCTTCAAGCTCTCATCCACAATCTCAAATGCACCAGCCTGCAGGTATGGCTTTGCCTACGAGCAAAACAACATAAAAATTATGTGATAATAAAGAAGAACGGAATATGTTATAGATAAATAAATTTCATAAGTTACTTGATCATATCATTTTTTCCCCCTCAGCTAAGAAACACAAACATATATGTGTGCTAGAGAGTTTTAGTGCAATGATAGGAAGACAAACGTTCGCAGTAGGAAAGAAGACAAACTAATATATTTTCACCCTTGTCGAATAACAACGAAGTAAAAAAGGTTGATAATAGTTTAAAGAAAAACAAAATTAGATGATTAATCGACATATAAATAAGTAAGAATGGGTTTTACCCATAACACCAAATTATAAGAATCTGGGTTCCCAGCATGGCTTAAGGGTTCACGCCCACATATCAACTCCAAAAGAACAACTCCGAAACTGTAGACATCGCTTTTCTCAGTTAACTGATGCGTTGCATAATAGCTATAGAAACAAAATACTTACAGTTAGCCTTTAGGCAACATTAACGAAAAGTTAAGGAAAATTGAACAATAAACTATAAAGTTCGAAATTTTTACTCGGGGTCCAGATAACCAGCAGTGCCCTTGACAGCAGTGGTTACATGAGTTGCATCTGCTTGAGGCACTTGTTTTGAGAGCCCAAAATCACCAACTTTTGCATTCATATCTAAATCTAATAGAATGTTGCTGCTCTTTACGTCACGATGAATGATCCTTGGATTGCTTCCATTGTGTAGATAATCAAGTCCTTACAGGGGAAAGATCATTAATTTCAGAAATAATGCGAGTTAGCGCTTATAGTAAGTAGTGGCGCCAAAATATGTACGAGAAGCAAGAGGAGTATCAATGCCATTGATAAAAAAGGACATCAACAGGGCTAATTGCAGACTCCCTGCAGTATCGTCATTTTGCACTTGCTACCCTGTAGCTACATTGTTGAAGATAAAAGCCTGGGATAATTTTTTTTTACTATTTTACCCGGAGCTAGACTCATTAATTTCACCTAGGGCCAATATATGCCCAATTTCACTGACAAGTTGAAATAGAAAACCAAGAAAAGAACATATATATATGAATTCTGTGTCATGTAGAACCAACATCAATGCAATAAGATAGATAATTCCTATTGTTTGTGACAAAAGTGAAGGAAAATGTACCTTTTGCTGCATCAACAGCAATCTTAAGCCTGCATGCCCAGTTGAGTGTTGCCTTTTTACTGTCTGAACCTGAAACAAAATACGTTTCATTTCGGATAAGGTGCAGAAAGGGAGAGGCCTACATGAACCTTCAGCTCATTCTTCTGATAAACAGCGTACCATGTAAATTATCAGCCAATGATCTACTAGGTAGGTACTCATACACTAGAATTTGCTGCTTCGATTCGTAACAAAATCCTTCCAGCTGTACAAGTTTTTGATGTCGAACTTGAGATAGAACCTGAACCTGAAAATACACATTGGTCGGTTACCAGGTATGGAGAAACTCGATTGTGACCTAAATTCTGAAGGATAAAGTAGAATTATATAGGTGATCCTTAAATTTAATATCTGTAAGAACTTAGGTAGCTGTAATAAAAAAAACAATACACGGTTTCTGTAATAGAAATTGTGTGATAATTTCGTGCATGATTTGTTGTCTAATGTATCTTACACTACTAAAAGGATTATTATCTAAAATTTATCCTAGTTAACCTTAGATGAACAGATATAAATTGTCGAAAGGTAGAGTAAATAATACCTCGTTGAAAAATGAATCGGCCCCGAACTGTGTTTTGTCAACCCGCACTTTCACAGCTACTAATTTTCCATCTGAAAGTTTTCCAAGATATATTGATCCAAAACCTCCAATGCCAATAATATCCTTGAAATTGTTTGTGGCAGCCTTGATCTCCTTATAAGTGAAAACTTGAGCTACACTTCTGCTTTTCATCTCTCTTTCCGCCCCTAAGAATCAGAAAAAAGATTTATGATCAGTGGGTAATGCTGATACGACTTGAGCTGGACTGCTACTGATAATATGCACAGGATGGGGATAATTTAAAATTTAAATTTTCAAAATGAAAATACACACTGTTGGATGTCATATAATACACATGTACAACCTAGGAAAAAGAATTTTGGATGGTTTCGACATGTTTGTAATCATGATGAAGGGGTAAAAATTGTTCACCTTTTAATAAAATGGTTGAAACATTTATTTTGTTTTGACAACATAAAAATGCATTGTTAAAACACGTTGAAATTATCTCATATTTATTTCTAAATAGTTGATTTGCAGTTAGATCACATCCAAGGGCACATATTTTCAATTTAGAAATCCATTATTAGTAACTCTTCTAATACAGCAAAATACTACGAGCTTGAGCCAAGTTCACGCATACGAGTATCAGATGTCCCATAGTCTCTTTTTCTCTTCCTCGTGTACATACAGACGACAATTCCAACAATCACAAGTGCACAGCAAACAGCTCCAGCTGCGCCAACTATTATCATTTTGGTGTGTTTTTGAGTTTGAACAGAAGGTTCTGTCGCATTAAAAACCGTGACACGTGGAATTTGAATTGAAGGGTGATCTTCTACGTCGTTGCATGTTGAAGGAGAAAAAGAGAGGCACAAATTTCCTGATGTTCTGCAAGATGATTGGAGAGATTAAGGGACCAAAGTTTATGTTTAAACTAAGAACATAAATATTGTCATACCTCACTTTCAAGCTTTTCTTGTTTAAAGATTCTGGTAGCACACCTCGCAGTTTATTGTTTTCTAAATTTCTGCAGAATGATCTTTTTTTGATTACTTCTAGACAAATTATGATGAAGTGTGACAGCAAACTGAATCAATTCACTTACAGTAACCGGAGGTTCTTTAAATTTCCCAAAACTTCTGGAACTGCTCCTTCTAAACTATTGTTCTGCAAATCCCTTCACAGATAGAAGCAGAACAAGAAGAACTTCGAACATTAAAATAAGAAATCTAAAATGTTATAGAAGAATTTCGCACGTTAAAATGAGAAATCTGAAATGTTTTAGACTCTGGATGAAGTTTGAAGATCTGATCTATCTGTTCTGAAAACTTGAGAAGTCATGCATACAGCAATAGGTGACACAAAATGTTGCCACAATTTAATGTAATAAGTTGCTTAAAAGAGCTTTGCTACAGGGACCCAAAATATGGGACCAATAGGTGGGACAAGTGAGGTTTCCCCCTCCTATTGAATAATGAGTTGGCCATCATTAATGATGACCAACTCATTATCCAATAGGAGGGGAACACCTCACTTGTCCCCCCTACTGGTCTCATATTTTGGGTCCTTAAAGAATTTTTCTGCTTAAAAATGGCTAGTTAAAATTAAACTTATCCAAGGTAACAAATATGGAGAGTTTGTTAATGGCACTATTAACCATAGTCAAATGGATCATTTAAACTATGTACATGAACATATAAATTTGCAAAAATGATAGCTCGGGTGTGTTTGGATACCAAGGCGATTTTTTTCGTAGTGTTTTTTAGAAAAACACTATGCCAAGACGTTTTTTTTTCAAAAGTGTTTTGAAAACGCCATTGTTAGTTACAATTATATAGCGCTGGTGACGGTCTGCGCGCGTGCCGTTGCGCGGCCGCGGCGAACGGGGGGCGCGGCGCCAGGACTGTGCGGCAGGAGGGACGGCCGGCGGTGCCGGGCGGCGGGCTGGATGGCGGCCGCTGGAACGGAGCGCGACGCGGCGGTAGCGCCCGTCGCGGCGACGGCTGGCTGAACGGGCGGCGGCGCGTGGGCGGCGCGGGGCGCGGCGCGACACCAGCAGCGGCTGGGCAGCGCGGGCCGGATCCCGGGGTCGCGAGCGAACAGGGCCAGTGGCGGGCGAGCGGCGACGGTGCGGGCTGAGCTGACTGCAGCCGACGATCGACCGGCAGCGGGTGAGGCGCCGCAGCGCGCGACGGCGCAGACGGCGCAGAGCCGAGCCGGCGGGTTCCCACGCGAGCGGCACAGCGGCGGTGTGCGGCACCTGCACGGCCGGCGACGGCGGTGGACCATGGTCCGCAGCCGCGGCTCGGTCGACCGCGCGCGGCGGTCGCGCGACGCGCCGGGAGACGCGGCGCAGACGGGGCGGGTGAGGCAGGCGACCACGTCCGACGGCCGTCAGGTGGCGGCGAACACCGGCAGATTTGCGTGGCCGGTGCCGGCCGCTAGCGGGCCGGCGAGACCATGGCGGGCCGGGGGCGGCGCGGCAAGCAGCGGCCCGAACGGCTTAGATGAAAAAACGGAATCTCACCCCGGCCCCCCCCCCCCCGCCCCGCCGCGACGCTCTCGACCCGCCCCTGCCTCTCCCTCTCTTACCCCTCGCTCCCCGCTGGCGCCTGGCGGCCCCGCCCCCCCCCCCCCCCCCCCCCCCCCACCCCCGCCCCCCCCCCCCCCCCCCCGCCCCCCTCCCCCCCCGCCCCCCCCCCCGCCCCCCCCCCCCCCCCCCCCCCCCCCCCCCCCCCACCCACCCCCACCAATCCCCGCCCCCGACCACCCCCGCGCTCCCCCCCCCACCCCCCGCCCGCCCGCCGCGCAACGACCTTTTTTGGTGTTTTGAGAAAAGTGTTTAATTTTTGGATTTTGTAAAGGGTCAAGTTAAAAAAACGCCCCGGTTGCCAAACGCGTTTCATTGTTTTTTTTGAAAAAAAAAAACGGAAACGACAAAAAAACCATGGTATCCAAACGCTCCAAGTTATGAGATTCAATTGAATAAAAACCCTAATTGTATTATGAAATTTCTTGGGCTTATATAGGCCCCTATAAAACACAACTTACAAATAAGTCCCTATATACTACTAATATGTCAACACTCCTCCTCAAGATGGGCGAAAGATATCCACTAAGCCCATCTTGTCACATCCTCTAACCATATCTACTGAGCTAAGTCCCATAGTCAGACAATCTGCTGCCTCGTCCTTAGTTGAAACATGACTTAGCTCCAATAGTCCACTATCCAACTTCTCTTTGATGAAGAACCTATCGATCTCGATGTGTTTGGTTCTATCATGTTGTACTGGGTTGTTGGCGATACTGATGGTTGACTTGTTATCACACCACAACTTCATCTTAGCTCATTGATCCAGCTTCAGCTCCACCAGCATACTCTTCAACCATAGCAACTCAGCAACTCCTAAGGCCATAGCTCTATACTCTGCTTCAGCTGTTGATCTCGCTACCATTGATTTCTTCTTGCTTTTCCACGAGACCAAGTTACCTCCTATAAAGATACAATATCCTGAGGTGGACCTCCTGTCATCAGCACAGCTAGCCCAATCGGAGTCACAATAACCCTCAATGCTCATATGTTTATTCTTCCTGAAGATTAGCCCTTTTCCGGGGGCACTCTTCAAATACCTTAGAATCTGGTACACTGCGTCCATATGACCCTTCCTTGGATCATGCATGTAGCGACTCACCACGCTCACTGCAAAAGAGATATCGGGACGTGTGTGACTCAGATAGAACAATCTGCCCACCAGCCTTTGGTATCTGTCACGATCAACTGGTTCTCCAGCTTCAACACCCAGCTTAAACTTCTGATCGATCGGTGTAGTTGCAGGTTTGCACCCTAATATTCCTGTCTCTTTGAGAAGATCTAGTGCATACTTTCTCTGGGATAGGACGATCACCTCCGCTCCTCGAGCTATCTCTATTCTAAGAAAGTATCGAAGCAAGCCAAGATCTTTCACCTCAAATTCCTTATCCAGTCTCACTTTGAGTTGGACAATCTCCTTCTCATAATCCTCTGTAATAATCATATCATCCACATATACTGCAAGCATGGTGATGTGACCTCCACTTCTTCGAAAGAACACGGTATGGTCGGCGTTGATCTGTTGGTACCCCATACCAATCATAAGCCTCCTGAATCTGTCAAACCAAGCACGAGGAGACTGCTTCAGCCTATAAAGAGACTTCTTCAATCTGCAGACCTTTCCCACTGTCTGATCTGTACCGAATCCTGGTGGTATCTCTATGTATACCTCCTCCACTAGATCTCCATGAAGAAATATATTCTTCACATCTAGTTGGTGTAGTTTCCATCCACCATTTATTGCCAGAGAGATTAAGGTCCGAACAATGCTCTTCTTTGCCACCGGTGCAAAAGTCTCATCATAATCGATGCCATATGTCTGACTATACCCTTTTGCCACCAGACGAGCCTTGTAGCGCTCAACTTGTCCATCTGGATTCTGCTTTACAGTGAAGACCCACTTACATCCAACTGCTCTCTTCCCTTCTGGTAGTTTTACTAGCTCCCAAGTGCGATTCTTCTCAAGAGCCCCTAGCTCCTCGAGCATAGCCGCTTTCTACTTTGGGTTCTTCTTAGCAACCTGCCAATTGTTAGGTACAGTAACAGAGTTTAATGATGCAATGAATGCCCCATGTACATGGTGGATGTTAGAATATGATAAAAATTAGGCAAGATCCCAACCATATCTATCGGGAGGATTTCCCGCATTACTACGAGTAGTCCTCCGTACTGATATTAATGTGTGAGGAGTAGGGAGAGGAATGTTATCACCTTGGGATGAAACTAGTGGTGGTGTAGTTGTCTCAGGAGTCGGGGCAGGCGTTGGCAAGAGACTTGGCAGCACTAGTGGCACTGTAGGTACTGTTCCTGCAATTTGCTTTCCCTTCCTACTATAGGTTAGTAGCTCCCCCTGAACCGTGAGCCTAACACCTCTTGTCTCATTTTTATTTTCTTCTTCATTCTCCTGCTCCTCCTCAACCAATTCTCCCTCCCAAGGAATCGATACAGAAATTGATTTCTTCATATTGTTCACCGATCTCTCACCATTCTCCTCCTCTCGCCTCATACTTCTAGTATTGGGCGAGTTACCAACGGATGAAGTTACCTTCCGGGTGTAATATGGCTCGAGTTCTCGAAAGTGCATATCCATGCTCACAAGCAACCTTTTCTCCACCGGGCTCCAGCAAACATATCCCTTCTGAGTAGCAGAATATCCCACAAAGATGTACTTCACAGCTCTAGGGGCAAGCTGCCCGACAGATGGCCTGTTGTCCTTCACAAAGCACACACAGGCAAACACTTTAAGTGGAGGAATCCCACCATTATCTCCCTTCAATGTCTCACACGAAGACTTCCAATCCAGCACTCTCGAGGGCATTCTGTTGATCAGCGCTGCTAGGGTCAATACTGCTTGTCCCCACAATATTTCTGGGACATTAATAGAGATCATCATGCTTCTAGCAACCTCTAAAAAATATCTGTTCTTCCTTTCCGCTACCCCATTCTGAGCTGGTGTGTATGGACAGGTTGTCTGGTGATGTATTCCCTGAGCCGATAAATATTCTTCAAACGCTCTGTTGGTATACTCTGTCCCATTATCCGACCTCAATACCTTCACTACTGCTCCGTATTGAGTCTGAACATTCCTATGAAAGTTTTGGAAGCACCTAAACACTTCACTCTTATTCTTCATCAGGTATAACCAAGTAACACGAGAGAAACAATCAATAAATTGTAACAAAATACTTGTATCCATTCATAGAACTTGTGGAACAAGGCTCCCAAACAACTGAATGTACCAAGTCAAATGCATGAGAACTTCTATGATCAGAACTAACATAAGAGTTTCTAGTAAGCTTTCCAAACTTACATGCATCACACACAAGTTTCTGTTTATTTGCTTTCTCAAATAAAGAAGGATACAATCTACCTTGCATCACACACAAGTTTCTGTTTATTTGCTTTCTCAAATAAAGAAGGATACAATCTACCTAAAATACTAAAGGATGAGTGTCCCAAAGGATACAATCTACCTAAAATACTAAAGGATGAGTGTCCCAAACGCTGGTGATGAAGCATTAACTCACTCTTAGTACTCATTTTAGATCATACTCCTTCTTCCTCTACGACTGACACCAATGCTGAATCCAGCCCTTCACGATCCAGATACCACAGTCCACTACGCCATGTGTCAGTCCCAAGTCTCCGTCCTATCCCCTTCTCCTGGAAAATCACCTTGGGAATATCAAAAGAAACAATGCATTTTAGTTAGAGGATGATAGAACTAATGGACAAAAGATTGACTGGAAAGGAAGGAGCATGCAAAACATTGGACAAAGTTACAGAACCAGTACAATCGACTGTACCCTTACCAACCACTGGCTGAAATGTACCATCAGCTATTTGAATACTATCAGGCGATTGTAGGCTGTCTAAAAATCACAATAGATAGCTGATCCCCATCAAAACACCGATGATGGAAGTTACACTCTGACGACTTCCAGAAGGTTACAATTTGAAGACTTTCACGTAGATCGCTAAAGGTTACAATCTGACGACCTTCACGACAACTGATGGAAGCTCTAATCAAACAGCCTTCATAATCAACATCGGGAGTTACAATCTGACGACTCCCATATATCAGAGAGCTAAAGCAAAGATTACAAAATGACGATCTTTGCAACGCTTCGACAGAAAGAGACTACAAATCAATGGTCTCTTCAAATCAAGCTGCGGAAGTCCTCCCCGCACACCAGCATCAAGACGCATCGCGTTCATAGCCACGAACGCAGCTCAACGCATCTCATACCGCAGCTCAACGCAGCTCCAACCGCTGCTCAACGCAGCTCCAACCGCTGCTTAACGCAGCTCCAACCGCTGCCCAACGTAGCTCTATACCGCTGCCCGACGCAACTCTAACCGTCGCCAGACGCAGCTCGCAAACACTATGTTCAAACGCAGATTTCATTCCAGAATATAGGGCCTGCGTTTGACTCGTTCAAACACGAGTTGAACGGTTCCAAAACCGTTTCCCACGATCTGAGGGGATCACAACTCCACTCAGGAGTGATTTAAGGGACGGTTACATCCCATTAGCCCCACTTAGGAACGAATTAAGGAGGTGGTTACACCCCTTAATCCCTTATAAATAACTAAAAATCAATTCAGTTAAGGTTCGGTCTGTTGGAACTTCTTGGCTAGTCAACAGGATCCTTAGAGCATTTCTGAAGCTTTGGAGATCGGCAACAAGATCTTCTTTATCCTTGGCTTATAACCGACTTTCGGTTAAATCAACTCTTTCATAGAGTTTCAAACTCGTTCAGAGTTCTCCACAACGTCAAATCGTGAGCAGAAGACCATGTTCCAGTGAAACAAGACATCGGATCGTCAACGAGAAGCAAACTCGACACGAGCATTCGAGGGAGGCATCTCATCGCCACCGTGAAGAACCCAGATTTAAACAAAGGGGAGAATCCAGATCATTCTCCTCTCTTTTGTAATCAGGAAATCCAATTGTAACTGAGATTAAAGGAATACAAATTAATTTTCCTTCGTTTCTTTTACTGTAAATTTTTCCACAAACAGCGATGCTAAGTGAGTATATGATGAGAACTCACTAGCATTACCTGTCACATGTCGAGACGCACCGGAGTCGACTATCCATTCTGATGATCTGTCGGGAGACATAGAAGCAAGAGCATGTATGTCATCAGTACCTTTGGTCGGATGAGCATAGGTGGCAGTGTTGCCTCTGGCGAAGAACGAAGTGGATGCCTCCTCAGTCCCACTCCTCAAGTCTCCATCCCCTGCTACTTGCTGCTTCCTCCTGAGTATCACCAGGAAAGCACGATCCTCCTCAGTAAAGACCACCTCAGCTTCTTCTTCCTCTGCTACCATCAGATTCGCCCGGTTCCCTGCTCCTCTTCCACCTCGTCGACCCCCACGGCCACGACCACGACCTCCGAACTGTCCACGTCCACCCGAATCTCCTTCCTTGGGTGGCTTGGTGCAAGCATGCCTTAGATGACCCACCGCACCGCAGTTGTAGCACTATCGAGTCTCTCCCCTAGATCCAGTGTTGCTAGAGGCTGCCAATGCTGACTTCACCACAGGAAGTCCACCTGTCCCCGCCTGCAGCCTAATACGAATCTCCTCCTGGATCATAGCAGAGACAACCTCCTCAAGCGTAGGAATCTTCGGATGAGCGAGCAGCAATGCAATTCGCTGAGCGAACTCTGATGTTAATCCCTTGAGAAATACCATAGTCCTCTCCTGTAGGAAGGCCTCCCGCTCTTTACATCCCGGGTCCTTACAGCTCGCCCGAGGTGAGAAGTGATCATAATCTAGCCACAGACGCTCCAGCTCTGTGGCATACTCCTGTACAGTCCGCACTCCCTGTACTGTGGCGTCGATCTCTCCCTTAATCTGGAACACCCTCAGGTTATTCCCCACTCCATCATAGGTCCTCCTTAACTTTTTCCAGACGTCCTTCACCTTCTCAATGTCATCAACTGTGGCGGCGATCGACTGGACCAATGAGTTGAGGAGCCAGATATACACCAACATATGAGTGGACTTCCACTCATCTCTTCCTTTTGAATCCTCATCCGGCTCTGTCACCTCTCCCGTCAGATAACCCTCTAGGTTCCTCCCTGCAAGGGTGTATCTCACCCGCCGTGACCAGCTCAGGTAAGTACCCGGTCCATCAAGCTTCAGATCTATGGTAGGAAGCTCCAATTTCTTGGATGGTTTTGTCGTGCTCTCACCAGCCGACAACTTCATCAGCTTCATCAAAGTTGACACTTCCGCGGGGTTCAACTTCTTGATAATCTCCTCCATTGATCAAGCTTCAGACCCAACGCCTGGTCACCTTCTCTTTCAACCTTTGTTGTGTGCAGTAAAAATTTTGGCAGCACCTCTACTGCACAACAAGAGTAAGATCTCAGACAAATTCTTGTTTCTCAGAGGAAACAAGAATCAAAAAACAGTGATATATCTCATCGTCGAAATAGTGATATATCTCATCGTCGTGAGATATATACTCTTCCTGTCATCAGTTCGAGGACTGAGTCGAGGGAATCCATGCCAAACTCGAGGTTCGACATGTGCAGCAAAGGGTGGTAGGGGTCTGGCCTAAGAGTGTTCAGCAGAGGAGGGTTTTTTTCGACTCTTGCCTCGGTGTCGGGATCGGTTGTAGGGGTCGGGTTTGTCTGGTTTTTAGGCTGAGTCCTCTTGGTCAGAGAGGTTTCTGGGAGGGAATATGGACAGTTGGATTGGTTTTTTTCTTCTCGGTGGCGGTCGGGATTGGACTAGCGAGAGAGGGTCTGAGGGGTTCTGTTGTGTTCTGAGTGTGGGTTGTCCTTTACGTGGGGGAGGTCTCGTTCTGGGTATGTTGCTAGAGAACAGAGTGGTGGGTGCGGGGGGTTCGGCCCGAAAACAGTTTGCAGGGTTCGGCTTTCGGCCACTTGAAACAGGAGTTGTGCCGCTGGGGGGGCCGGGTTCACTCGGAAAATTAGAGTGTGTGGGGATGAGTTCGCTGCCGCCGAAACAGAGAGAGGGGGGTAATTCGTCGTCGGGTGCTGAGGGGACGGCGGCTAGGCGGCCTCGGTGTGGAGGGGACGACGGCCTTACGGTGGGTGGGCGACGGCGGCTAGGGTTAGCTCTGATACCAAATTGAATAAAAACCCTAATTGTATTATGAAATTTCTTGGGCTTATATAGGCCCCTACAAAACATAACTTACAAATAAGTCCCTATATACTACTAATATGTCAACAGATTCTATGATTGTAAGGACCAATATTTGAGAATGGTTGCACATTTATCCATGTCTTTAATCTTTCATGAACACTTGGAAATTTTATAGGGACAATAAATAAAAAGAAGCCACAGTTTTACAGCAAACTTGCTATTCTAAAACGAATGAACCATATATCAGCTTTATCTAATTGATCTAGAATTTAAATAAATCAAAACTTACAGTATCTGAAGGTTGACCATAGTATCAAAATCAGAACCAAATGAGGTTAACTTGTTGAAGCTAAGATTCCTGCAATGTTCATCCATTTATAAAGGATATTTATATATCAGGTAGTTATGCAGAAGTGCATTAAAAAAAATAGTAGGGAAAACTTACAGTATTTCCAATTTCTGAAGGCTGCCTAAATTCATAATCTCTCCACTGAGAGATGTATTGTGCAAATCTCTGAAAATTACATCAACCCGAAATTTGAATATAAACCTCTCAACGTACATAACAAATAATAATATAACAATGAGCTTACAATTTCTTAAGGTCAATCAAATCTCCAAATGTAGGACTTATCACTCTCAAATCCATATTGACAAGTTCCCTAAATCAATCAACATCACAATTATCTCGAAACAAAGAACTACTAATATAATTTTTTTCTGGAAATTCTAGTAGAAAAACACGTATTCTTTAAAGAAATATTTACTCCATTAAAATACATAGCTTACAATGATGTAACAAGATTTCCATCACAACCAACGTGCTTCCAAGCTGTGGGGGAGCAAGGATCATTTTGCCATCCAAGATCAAAGCCAGTCGACTGCTCGATTACTTTAAGTGCAGAAACTAGAAGTAAAGTTGAATCAAAATCAGCGTAAAACAAAAAATTCATAATATATAATACAAATTACTATAAAAAGTCCAACCTGTAGTTGTAGAACACTCCAAAGGAATTCCAATTGCTTCATATATTTCAATGGCATTCACTTGAGGGTAGAAGCTAACATTTCTAAACATAATCCTCAAGCTATCTATGCCCTTCACTGAATATAAAATCGAACTCGCTTCTCCATGCTTAACACTGTAATTGGAACTCACCGAATTATCATTAATAAGAACATCGAATGTGGGAGAAACAGGTGTGATGCCAGCAAAATGTAGCACAACATAATAGTCCCCACTCTTTTCCAGAGAAAAATAATAAGTCAGAGTATCTCTCCTCACAAGAACTCGTGCAGTTTGAAGCACTTCAACGGGAGGACTCTCTTTGACACCTGAAAGCTCGAGTTGTACTGGAATTTTAAACTCCGTCGACAAACGGGTTGGCCAGAAGTTCTGATCGACGTCCCAAATCCGATCATAATAATCAAACGGATACCTGCAAGCATTAGACAAATTAATGAAACGTATCGAGAAAGTACTAACTACTGAAATAGCAACCAGAGGATTGATGTTGTTGGATTTTTAAGAGGAAAAAGATGCAATTCGTATGAGTCCACTTTGATTAAAAAATTGAGGTAAATCTTAATCAAAACTAGAATGATCTATTAGGGATTTACATCAAAAATATCAGACACCTTTTTTTAATTAGAGAAACGTATTACAAACTTTCTGAATAAGCAGAAAAATATTACATACTATCAGAAGACTATATGGTAATTTCATGTTGATATCTAAACATGTGCAGTAGTTATCTGAAAATAACGTAATGTGCATGGTAGTTTAGTGACTTTATCTAAAAATTCACGTACGGTACCAAGTAAACTATTAAATAAAAGTTCATGATATCTAATTAACGAGTTATATTATAATAATATGTGGTATTTTAACTTCACTGCAGTTTTCTTTAATCAGATGATTTATGGGTTTTTTTTAAACTGGACCACTAGTAGTTCATGGCAATGAAATTTACCTTTTTGTTCTATTCACCTTATTTTCTTTCCAACTATTGAGTTTGTTATCTCAAAAAACAAAGTACGGTACCATATTTCATAGGATGCATTAAAATCGGAGCAAAACTACCTATATAAACCAATATTTCAGGCTAGAGATAAAAACGTATGTTACGTAGATTCCTTCTTATCTTGAGCTTTCTATATAAATTTGTTTAGCAATTTTACGGAGATCGCTCTTGACAGTAATTCAGTATTCGCCGCATAACATGAAACAAAAAAGTTATCATTAATTACCTCAATGGAGCACCCCCAACGTAACCACAGTTAATCCTGTATCTCTTCCTCAGCAAACTACTCTTTCCACGATCCTCATCAGAAACGAGCCCATAAGCTCCTTCGGGAAGAGGCCGAACCTCGATCGACGAAATTACAGGAGACCCCCCGCCTTCAACAGGATGCAAACACAACGCCAGAGTATTCTTACTGCCGTCGACCCTCCACACAAGCTCTTCAACGACGGGATCATTCTCGGCGAGGTTAACGCTGGCAGCAGTCGCGGTCCCGAGGGAGAGAGAGAACAGCGGGGCCCGGTCAAGCCCGTCGTAGTTGTTGTAGGCAAAGGAAGGCCTGACGAGGACCGAAGCGGCGTTGTTGTGGAGAATGTTAAGGGGGAGGCCGTAGCAAATGGGAGTCCGGGGGTCAGAGCCTGGGAAGAAACGGAGGGAGGTCGTGGAAGTGGAGTTGATGGGATCAGTGGAGATGTAAGCGGAGTCAGGGGTCCATGAGATGTTGGAGGAGTCGGTGAAGGGAGCTGGGGAGCAGCAGGAGAGGCTCAAGAAGCCTGCGGGGTCCGCGGAGGCGAGGGACGCGGTTGTGACGATGGTGGTGAAGATTATGAGAAGTGTGTCGGAGTGTTTGGCCATCGTTGAGTGTTGAGAATGGAGGGAGAAAGAGGAGGAGGTGGAGATGTAGAAATAAGCTTGTTTTTGCTTGTAGGTTTGGTGTTACTTTGTAGTGACAGGATGAATTCATTGGTATCGCTTCTGCTTTCAAGTGCTACGTACAATCTGTTTCAAATGGAACTAAAATAGTATAATTTTAGTTTTTCTGATTACAGGATATGTCGATAAACAGTACAATTTGCGTTAAAATGTTAGCAAAATATTAAAATTTAGTTTTCTTTTTCATTCGCGTCGTTGGATTTTAATTTTATGTTGCTGCTTAAACCGACATCTTAATTTCTCCGTTTGATGTCGTTGAATTCTAACCCTTCTTTATTAACCTTGCTGATGTTCTCTACCAATTTTGATAGATTATGTCCTTTGTCATTCTCTTGCCTATGTATCTTTTTTTTTTTTTTTGAGTGAAACGGTGAGTAAATACCCCTGTGTTCCATTAATTAATTAGAGTTTAATGGAACAATCCAAAGAAGTACAAGAAATAATAGCTATATAATAAAAGCCAAAGCTAATTCATGGCGATACATAGCAAATATGAACACACAAATTAAAAGAGAAAAACCCTGGAAAAACTCTAAGAAGAATTAATAGAGATGATCTTTGTTCTCGAAAAATAAAGTCTAAAACATTGTTTTGCAAACTACTAAAACTAGGCCAGGTTTAAACCCGGTCTAGCGTTAGTATCTTTTCGTGATTGGGAAAAGTAGGGTCAGAGCTAGCCCAACCGTTTTTAGTTCATGTTGGAGGGTTTTTAGGCAAGCTAGAATTGAACCAACCCTACCTGGTTCAATTCTGGCCTGGTTAAAATATGCTAGCCCAATTTGGAGAAATTTGCCAAAACATGCCTAAAGTCTCAATTTTTCATCTATTACTGTCATTCTGCTTCTTCCCTTTCGACATTTAGTAATTTTCGGACACCATTTCGCTTGCTTAAAGCCCTTTTTTTTTATAACTTGTTTGACTTTATTAACAACTTCCTTTTCTACTTCGTTTTTTTTTTGCCCCTTAGTATTTACTGCAGATCGATAATGTACAATATTTGACAATTGGTATTGCTCCTCATTATGGGTTGCCTTCCTTGGGTTTGAAGATTGATGGAGCGAAAAGGGCTCTAACATAATGGTCATGATAAAGCAAGAGATATGAAAGAGGAGGGTAGGCGTGGGTAAGGGTGATGATTTTGGTAGGTGGGTGGGGGACTGCAAATTGTTCGGGACGTGGGCTTTGGGGGGTGTGCATGCTGGTTAATCGAGTTGATTTAGGGCAGGTAGAGCTAAGAAGTTGCACATTTTCAAAAGTTTTCGAGTAGCTTGAGAGAAGAGGGGGAGCGGAGGGCGCTGGGCCGGGTCGGCCCATAGGCCCGCTCACTTGGCCCACGTTTGGGCTCTATTCGACTCGGCCTAATACAGAACGGGTCAAATTCGATCCTCTACCGTAGCGAGTCGCGATTTCGGGGTATGTAGGCCCTCACTTCATGCGCATCAGTATCTCGGTTAACCCACGAAGTCCAAGTCCGTCGAGCGAGCTAAGCATGTATGTGAGTGTGCTAGCTCGTTAGACCCCTCCCGTGGGCCCATTCAAATTAAGTTCTCTTTTTTACTGTACAAACACATTTATTATTGTTTGTTATAATTTCTTTTGTGTTTGTATATTTTTAAGCTAGTAGAGCAAGTATTTATTGCTCGTGGATGTAGGACTTGCTGTGAACCACATTAAATCTCTGTGTGTGTAATATTTTTCCTCTTTCAATGTATATAAATATATAATTTTACTTAATAGCTTTTTTCATTACCTATAATGGTTAGATTGTTTTTTTGTTACTTTCATGTAATTTCTAAGTGTTAAGTAATACCTAGAAAACTATTACAAATAAAAAATAAAAAATAGCGAGAAGGGTGGGGCGACTCTTTTTATGGTCCATCCCGCTTGTTCCTGAACCTATGAACAGGTTGGTTAAGCTCTATGCCAGAAAACAAGCCGCCAATGATGGCCTAC